CCTACTGTGTAAACCCAATATCCATCTAAAATCAGATCCTAATGGCTGTGTTGGGTGCTTAAAATCTCAAGCTGCTATAAATTATTAAATAGTTCTCCTACACATAAGAAAAAATGTCCATCTAAAATTCTTCAGCTTTTCAATCAAAATTTCATTTTGGGGATTGGGCAGTAGCTCAGTGGTAGGTAGATCATGCATTTATCCTGTGTGAAGCCTTGGGTTCAATACCCCAGCATCAAAAACCAAAAAAAAAAAAAAAAAAAAAAAAAACGAACAAAACAAAAACCCTCATTTTTCCCCACTCTGGGGTCACAGTGTATCTATCATCTTCTTATCTGTCCCTCAATCCACTAAGGGTAGGTGGTTTTTTTGTTTGTTCGTTTTGTTTTGTTTTTTAAGAATAGAAAGGTTAAACCTCAAGGTGTGTCTTCTTTATACAGGGTTTTTGTTATTACTGTTTGTATGGGGGATTGAACCCAGGGGCACTTAATCACTTGAGCCACATCCCAAGCCCTTTTTATATTTTATTTTGAGACAAGTCTCACTAAATGGCTTAGAGCCTTATTAAATTGCTGAAGCTGGCTTTGAATTTGGGATCCTCCTGACTCAGCCTTCCGGAGCTGCTGGGACTATAGTTGAGCCGCCACTGTACTGGGCCACAGGTCTCATTTAATAGAGCTAACACAAGCTCCCTCGCCCCTCTTTTTCCATCTTTCTTTTCTTTTGTGAGTATTCACAGAATCTGGATCTGCCAGCTACTTCTGTTTGAAGTTGAAGACTTGGCAAAATTATACATCCAGCAGGCAAGAAATAAAGTGGAAATGTCTCACAAGTAATGATAAAATCTGTTAGGTTGTTTTAAGACTTAACTACTGAAAAAAAAAAGTCCCCTAAATATTGTCTTGGCAACTATAAATATATTTTAGCAATGATAAAAACCTTTACAGTATTGTTAAAAGATATCTGCCATATATGTATATGCATTTGTGTCATTTTTAAAAGTTGTGTAATTTTCCATTTAGTATTTTTATGTTTTACATGGCCAATGTCCCTCTTGTTGTAATTACTCAGGTAAGATTGAAAATGAGGGCCTTAAACTGGGTATGGCAGCACAACCCATAGTTACAGCTACTGGGGAGGCTGAGGGAGGAGAATGGTAAATTCCAGGCCAGCTTCAGCAATTTAGCAAGACCTTGTCTTGACATGAAAAATAAAAAGAGGTGGGATGTAGCTCAGTGGTAAAGTATCCCTGGGATCAATCCCCCATACAAAAAAAAAAAAAAAAAAAAAAGCCAAGCACCATAACGCACACTTGTAATGCCAACAATTTAGAAGGGTGAGGCAAGAGGATCAAAAGTTGAAGGCCAGTCCTAGCAAGATCTTATCTCAAAATAAAACGAGTGAGGATGTAGCTCAGTGGTTGAGTGCTCCCTGGGTTCAGTTCCCCATCCCCCCCAACCCCCGGCGCCCCTCGAGGGTAGAGCGCATGCTTTAGCATGTGCAGGACCCTGGGTTCCACATCCAGCACAGAAAAACAAAACACAAAAGAGTTCCTCATGCAGGTCTCCAGGCACATATCCTTATGAACTATCAACGACTTCTTAAAGAGTCGTACTGGGCAAAGATTTTACTTTAATTTTATTTTAATTTTTTGAGACAGGGTCTTACCAAGTTGCTGAGGCTGGCTCTAATTTGCGATCCTCCTGCCTCTACTTCTCAAATCGCTGAGATTCAGTGAGGCACGTCGCTCTGAAATTTTGCTTTTTTTTTTTTTTAAATAGCACTAGCGACCGAACTCAGGGGCGTTTACCACTGAGCTACATCCCACCCTTTTTTATTTTGAGACGTGGAGCTAGGCGTGGCTGTTCACTGCCCGTAAGCCCAGCCACTGGGGAGGCTGTGGCAGGAGGATCCCAAATTCAAGGCCAGTCTTGGTAATTTAACTAAACCCTCTGTCAAAATAAGAAGGGCTGAGGATGTACCTCAGTGGTAAAGTGCTTCTGGGTTCGATCCCTAGTTAAAAAAAATATATATATATATATATATATATATATATATATATATATATATATCTCCCTGGGATCTTGAGACAGGATCTCCCTAAATTGCTGAGACTGACCTTGAACTTCCGGTCCTCCTGCTGAGCTCAGGAGTTTCTAGAATTACAGGTGCATGCCACCAAGCCCAGCTTTTACTTTTTATATTTCCTTATTCTAATTCTTTATTCCTTATTCTCCTCTTCTGCCATGTTTATTCAAAATTGTTGGTAGGGCATTACTTTTATCCAATGCACTTTTATAACTATTATTTTTTTCTTTTAGATGATGATGATGATGATGGTGGTGGTGGTGGTGGTGGTACCGGGGATTGAACCTAGGGGCGTCCCATCACTGAGCTACACTCCCAGCATTTTTTTTTTTTTTAAGAAAAGGTCTTGTAAAATTGCTGAGGCTGGCCTCTAACTTGCAATCCTATCTCCACCTCCAAAGTAGCTGGGATTACAGGTGTTTGCCACCACTCTCTGCTTAGAACCTTTATTTTTTTTAAGATTCCAAAATTAGATACTTTCTAATACATTTGTTTTCACCGGTCTCCATTGCTTTCCCTTACTCTTTATTTAAAAAAAAAATCAAAAGAAACAATTTTTTTTTTTACATAAATATCAAAACCATTTGAAGGTAAGTACTTTTATTTCCCAGCTACTAATGTCAGTACATTTCTGTTGATGATTGTTTGGAATAAACATGCTTTTACAATAATACCCAAGGTCAGTGTAAGTGTCCTGATATGTTTTGAAATGTTAGTTACATTAGTTAAGGAAGGCTACTTGCCTGGGATACTATTTATTAATAAAAATATTGTATTTGCAAAATCTTTTGTTTCTAACAATAGGAATAGATATGTTAATTTCTATTGTTTTATTACTTAAATACCTGAGTTGTGCTGTGAATGATTGGCTAAAGATATATCCCTTTTCATTGTACATTTCACCTTATCTTTCTAAAAATTTAATAGGGTCATTTTACATTCTTAAAGCAGTACAGTAAAATAGTTTAAATGCAAAATGAGCTTAAATGCTACTCAACTCTTCTACTGGAAAATCCTAGAAAACAACTAATGAAATGCAATTTATACTTTTAAAATTCTAATTATATGTCACATTAAACTGAAGGTGAGAATAAAACTGCTGCATCTGTTAACTATGTCAAGGGATGTGTTATATCATACATGTTATTTAACGTGCAAGTGTAAAAGTCAAGTTCCCTGCAGAAATCCAAGTGCCTCCACTTTGTCTTCAGGGAATGTATAAATTAACCATTCTCAGTCGTCCTCCTCCCTTCCTCCCTCCACCCTATTTTAAATGTAGATAGGGCGTACCAAGTCTTTTGAATTTGAAGGGCTGCTATCTCGGCCCCATTCTTTTCATCATCCTGTTTTGAATGACACTGAGCACGTATAGATTCTTTTATAAAAGCACCCCCTGGATGCGGGGCTCAGTCCTCCAGGCTGCTGGCTAATTTTGCATAGCAATTAGTACTGACTTCTCCAAGTCTGCAATCCAAATACAGCTCGAGAACGTTCAACAGAGTTCCTCAAAGGTCCTAGATAACCGAACCCTGTGCCTTATGATTTCAAATCCGAAGGGGAGGAACTTGCATAATTACTAAATTCCCAATTGGAGTGGTCTGGAGGAGGATATGGTAATCCAAAACTATACGTTAATTCAAACCCTCGCCGCGACTGGGCAGCAAGGAGCTAGCATATGCCTTCTTTTAAAATCTATTCTACCTATTCAGTGGCCGCGCAGGGCTGGGCCACATGGTCCTGTCTTACAGCCAGTCAGCTGTGAGCAGCAGATGGGATCATTTGCATTTTTCTCTTCTTCGATCGGCAAATTAAAGGATTTTTAAAGAAAATTTACATTCTCATTGTTTGCCTAAGATACTAACGTGTCCTAAATGTTGAATTGGGTTTTTCTCTCACCTAGTCACTGAGATTTGAGAAAATACCCGAGGCGTAGGTTTCCTACTTATCAACTTGGAACCTACAATCCCGGAGTTAGGAGTAGACAGAGTCAGTCTTTACTGAGTTAGTGACTAGTGTTTTTAAGAATTCCACGTAGATATCCCGTGGGTTTGTGTTGGTGGCGCGTGAGTCGGAACGCGCATGCTTCTGAAGCTTTCGTCCTTAATCGCAAACGTAAAAACTTCGGGTTGCAAGTAGAAAGCAGATTTTTAGCTCTTAAGGCTTACAACCGAGGCGGCCAACCCGTTGGGGGAGTGGCCCGAGCCAGGGTTTCCCAGCGCCGGGGTCGCTCTCCCGCGTCCCGCCGGACTCCATGCCCGCTCCGCGGGACCGAAGGGGGCACTGCGCCCCGATGTCTTTGTGCTGGCCGCGGCGCGGGAAGACCGGGCCGGGTGTCCAGAGCCACGGCCGAAATGCAAAAAATTCGGGAGAAGTGCGGACGCGAGCGTGAAGACGTTTCGTACTGTTGTCGTCCCGCGGGGGAAAAAAGTAGAAGGAGGCATTTCGGGCCAAACTGTCGAGTCTGAGAAACCACGTTTTAGAGAAATGACTCACGGGGGTAGAGCACACGGTGTGCAAAGGACATTGTTCGCTAGCGCCTGTCCGGCGCGCCGTGGGTGCGCGGCCACTGCCCCCCGCCCGGGCAGCCCGCGCGGGCCCACGTGGAGCAGCGCGGCGCTGGCCGAGCGCGCCCGACCGCTCGGGTCCCCGGAGTGCGCGCCCCAGCACCCCGCCGCGGCCGTTCACGCCCGAGCGCCACCGCTGGTCCCGCGTGTGCCCCGCTGAGGGGGAGGGGCGGGCCGGGGGTGGGGGCGGAGGGGTTGTGGTTCCACTGCAGCGGGGGCTCCTGTGTCCTTGTGCGGAAATGACACACGGAGTCCCGTCACGTCACGCGAGAGCGCAGCGCACGGACACACACAAAGAGAGGGGAAAATACACGGCGCCCGCCCGCCCGCCGCCCCCAGCAACTCCCCGGGCCGCCCCGGCCAGGCCCTCCGCGCGCGGCCCCCACTCCCGGCCCCGCGCCCTCCCCCCGCACGTGGCGCCCAAACTCGGCGCGGGCCCGCTCCGCAAAGTACAGAACTCGTGTCCCAGGTAAGTGCGGGGCGGACCGGGCCGGCCGCGCTGTGGCGGCTCCGGGGCAGACAACCGGAGAGTGGCTGCAACATCCATGCCGGGGTGGGGGCGGGAGCAGGGGAGGGGACGCGAAGGGGGGCTGCCCTGAGCGCGCCCGCCCGGAGGAGCGCCCACCCCCGCGCAGGGCCGAGCCGCCGGAGCGGGAGCCCGGCGCCCACGGGCTCGCCGCGCCCATTGTGCCGCGCGCCCCTTTGTGCCCGCTCGGAACGCCGTGGCTCCATGGCGTTCCGGGGAGCTCTGGCGCTGCGCGAGGGCGGGGGAGACGCACAGTGGAACGGTCCTCGCCGCCGCCCGCCCCACTCGCGCCGCACTCCAGCCCCGCACCCCCGTCGGCCGCCGCGATGGAGCAGCCGGGGTCGCCGGAAGACTCTGCGGAGCCCGCGGTGGCTCCGCGTTCGCGCTCGGCGGGCCGCAGTGGGGGACAGCGCGGCGTGTGGAAGGGGGTGTCTGAGCGGGAGCAGGGGGCGGGGACTGAAGGGAACTGTAGAGCGGGGAGCTGGAGGCCGAAGAGCCGCCGCTTGGAGGGACGCTGCCTCGGGAGTCGGCTAAGGGAGCGAGGCAGGCCGGCTGCTGCTGCTGTTGCGGCGGCGGCGGCCGAGAGCCGAGAGGGACAGGCCCCGCCGCTAGGGGGCGCGGCGCCCTCCCCGGCCGTTCCACGGCGGTCCGCGGTTCCCGCTGTCCCAGAGCTGGAGGCGGGCCCGGCGCCCTGGGTGTGCACCCCGGCTGGCTTGAGGCCTTCCTGGCCAGCCGCGGAGCGACAGCCTGCGGCGCTCGCAGACCCTGTGACTGTCCTTTCCCTCTCTATGGTGGACGTGATTTCCCACGCAGACTTTACCTTCGCTTTCACTGGGAGTTATGTAGCGACTATTTCGAGGACTTTGTGCGCTAAGATGTACAGACACATTGTCTATTTTTCTATGTATTTTTATTTAAGGGAAACCAAGGTGCTGCTACTAGTTTGATTGCTCTCTCAGGTAGCTCATCTGGGAAGAATATTGGTCGTGGAAGCCAACCAGATAAGGGTACTCAGAAATATTGAATTTCCCCCTCCCCACCCCAGCCCACCCCCGTACTAGGGATCGAACCTTTGAACGTCACCTTCTTAAAGTAACTTTTGAATGTTTTGCTACAGATGTTACAGGGTTGCGGGTTGAGTGACAGAATGCTAAGGCTGCAGGAAACTGAGGCAAGGAAGAGAGCCTTTCAGGCTAGCTTGGTATACACAGAACAGGGATGGAAAAGATTGTTTTGCTGTCCTGTGTCCCACCTCCATGCCACAGTTTTACTCCTTTTTTAAAATTGTTATGTTTAGATAACTGGGGATTGAACCCAGAGGCAATTTACCCCTGAGCCACATTCCTGGCCCTTTTTATTTTTTTATTGAGACAATTGCTGAGACTGGTTTTGAACTTGCGGTCTCCTGCCTCAGCCTCTCTAGTCACTGGGATTACAAAAGTGCACCACAGCACCTGGCGCAGTTAAAAAGAGTAAACTCTTTGTGTAACTATCCATCCTTAGTTTCTGGGTTTATATTACTATGCAGGATCCCATCGGCTTCCGTCAGTACTGAAATTTGGGTAAGATTATTTAAACTAGTCACTGAACCAGTATCTGATAATTTAGTAGATACTCATTAAATGTTTGCTAAATAAATGGAGAGATCTTGTATTCAAGAAAAAAGAGATGTGGTGAGAGTGGCCAGTTCCTGATGGCAAGTTCACCACTATGTTTCTGGCCCCTGAAATTCACAGATTAAACCAGAGCCTTTTAAATCTGTTGCATTCAAAACTACTGCCAGACAGGTGCCATGGTTCGAACCTTTAATGCCATTGACTCAGGAGGAGGGCAAGTTTGAGACCAGCCCTCAGGCTCTAAGCAGCTTAAGAATCTTGTCTCAAATAAATAAAATCAAAGAGCTGGGGCAAAGCATCCCTGGGTTCAGTCCCCAGTATTAAAAAGAAAAACTTCTGTCACCCAACATGGACTTTACTAGAGAAATCATCTCCTTATTGGAGTAATTTAATAGGAAAGCTTTATGTTGTTATATCCTGACACATATACACTCATATACAGCAAGAAGAGAGGCCAGTTAGGACCCAGAAGACAAGATAGCTGGCCTGGCCATAATCTGTTGAAGTGTGCCACATTGACACACTGTCTTTCTTCTTGGTGCCCCCTGCTCCCCATGAGCAAAGCCATGGCAGAGTGACTAATAATTAGGAAAAGGATTCAACCCTGATATAGATTGGATTAGGTGAAAATTTAATATCCTCCAGGAATGTCCCATATCCTACTTGCTGGCCTTGAACTTGGGTTACTCCTGCCTCATTCTCTCAGGTCACTGGGATTACAAGCCTGTGCCAACATGCCCAGTTTAGATTATAATTTTTTTTTAAATAAAATTTAAAGTAAAAAAAAATGCACACACTGAAAAAAGTGAATATTTATGTGCTGCAGTAGCATCCCCTTGTTCTCAGTTGCTTTCCCCCTCTGTACCTGACAAGTGCTATTCTCCTTGTCCTGAAACTTCATCATCTCTCAAAATGACATTTCCACCCAGAGCTCTTGTGATTTCTGGAATCAGCTGCCACAGGACCCTGCACATTCCTGGCTAAGAGCTCTCTGTGTGCTTGCATCAGGCTTCCAGTGTGTTAAACAAGAGAGGTGCTTTCATCTGGGTTAGTGCCTAGCATGTTTGTGTGTCAATTTTGTCCAAAAACCAGACTTTTATAAATTATTGTTTTAGAGCTGATGTTTTCCCAACAGCTGCTCTGATCACATGCCCTTCCATTTTCAATTGAACTTGAAATATACATTTAAAGTCAGCCATCTTAAATTTTTACTTTCTAGTGAGGGACACCTGTATTCTTTGCTTGCCTGATTTTCTTTTATCACTGGCCACTGAGAGACAGTTGCATCACAGTCAGTGAGGGTGTGGATTGTTTAATTGAACAAATCACTCATAACCTTTTCTTGTAAGCAAGGGACTGTTGGTTTGCACATAGAGCTAGCAAAGTGAAGGACCATGGCCTGCCTGCAGCCATGGGCACACAGGTCACACGAGACTGTTTCCCGAACTCGAATTAGCTATGCGGGCTCAAGACAAAAGACTTGGGAAAAATGGGCAGTACTGATGAAATTTGGCTTACACCTCAGAAAGTTAGTCACCACTGTCTAGTCCCAAGGTGGAAGCTGGGGTGTGCTCTCCCCCATTCCCACCTGAGCCCAACTTCTGGATGCCAAGGTTGATTCATTATGAGGCCAAGGAGAACCAAAGTGGAACCTGTTAGCTGAGGAAGATATCATGTTTAGTCAGGTTCTGAAAATGCAGCGGCCAAAGGGTTAGACACCAAATTGCAAGCAGGCAGGCAGACAGGAGTGCGGGTTGTACTTTGCTGCCTGCTAAAAGATGAGGTTATGCTTTGAATAAGGAAGGCACCGACAATTACAGCTTTAGAAAAACTAAGGGGGAAATTGCCCTGGTTTTGTGAGGACTGGTATTTTTCAAACTACATTTGCAGATGTGTCTAAAAATAAAAACAAATTGCGAACATGTCCTGCAAGTCCCATGGGCATGATGCCAACTGCCAAGAGGGCTGGGTTCTAAATGCAACAAGGCTCCCAGCTGACCTGAGTGCCCGGAGCTCCAGCCCCACAGAGTGGATGGCATGGGAACATTCCTCCAGTCCTTGGGGAGAGCAATTGATTTGATTTCCCCCCCCCCCCCCCCCCAGTATGTTTCTTCCATATAAAGGAAAACTTTTGTAAACCTTTAAGCCATTTTATTTGATTTTACAGTTCTTTAAAGAAATGTATCATTAAAATGGCACTTTAATTTTTTTTTTTTTTTAAACTTTGTAATAGGTCATGCAGAGTGCTGTGTGCCAGACACTTTTTCTTTGGTAATTTTCACAAAAACTCCATGAGGTTGAGGTAGATACGTTCAGCTCCTGTTCATAGAAGAACAAACCAAGGCTTGGATGGGTATGTAAGAAACTCACCCAGTTTTAGATGTGAAATGTAATTCCAACTGGGTTAAAAGCCATTTTTAAAAAACCAGGTTAAGGGCTGGGGATGTGGCTCAAGTGGTAGCGCGCTCGCCTGGCATGCGTGCGGTCCTGGTTCGATCCTCAGCACCACATACAAAGATGTTGTGTCTGCCAAGAACTAAAAAAAATAAATAAATATTAAAAATTCTCTCTCTCTCTCTCTCTTTAAAAAAAACACCAGGGTTTTAACCTAGTTTTATCTGACTCTGAAGTTTAGGAGGGAATTCCGTTTTATTCAAGGGCAGCTGCATTGGTTGGCTGACGGCTCATCTAGCTAGTTTATTTGCTCCCACAACTGAGCCCAGGCCACAGATGGCTGCCTAATCGCAAGGGGAAAACAGATCTGGGTGCTGCTGCCCCGTTCCTCAGTTCCAGCTCTCCCTGGAAAACTGGAAGGAAGCTGTCATCCTAGGAATCCCCCGACTCCTTTTCCTTCTTCTTGGTCTCGGCAGCATCCCCTTAGTGAGGACAGATGCTGGCCCCTCTTTTTCTCCATCTGCCCAGTAAGAGGGCCCGTGTGAGGATTGCCTGGGTTAACATAGGTAAGACCCTTCAAGCATGGAGCCAGCTACATGAATATTAGCTGCTGTCCTCATTTTCTATATTTATTTTTAAAAAATCAATGTGGCCTGTAGCAGAGTCATGAAATTATGCAATGTGGTAGTTGTGAAAGAGTTGAAGTAAAGTTTTGGTCTTTGATAAGACTTTAAAACCCTTGAGTTTGTTTTATTAATGACATCTTGAAGATGACCTGAGCATATTCTCTGTGCTTTACCTTTTGTGTGTGGCAGAGTCTATACATGCCACAGTTCCCATTGTCTCCGGGTCCAGTCACATTCCTGTTCTGAGGCTCACATTCTCCAGGGAATCTGGTAATGAGCATTTGCTTCACTTGACATCTGGAAACAGGTCTGGGGTTGAGGTGGATTTGCCCCTGAGTGGTCTGAGGTCACAGCTGCGGGCGGGCGGCTCTTCCCCGACCTGTACTTCAGCCCATTGGCAAGTCCCAAGCCTAGCAGGCGGATGTGTCTGATTTAGCAGGACAGATTCCTGAGTCAGCTGTCTGGGATTTGAACCTTAAAGTTTCAGGAAGCCCAAGTACTTCCCATTTCTGGGCCTGCCGCTTGTCCTGTGTGACTTGGGGCCAGCCACAAGCCTTTGGCAGCTCTGATTAGCCTCACGCTGCTCTGACAAAGGGCCTGGTCTGGCTCTTCAGAGAACTTGATAGAGGAGCGTAGAGGCCACTCCAGCCAGCCGCCCGTGCAGGCACTGGAGAATATGTTCCTGTGGAACCCATGGGTCAGTTGGGGAAGAGACTGTTCCTGCGAGAGTCAAGGGCTTTGCCAACCAATTGCTCCCCTAGGTGCCCCAGTTCAGGTTACTATCCTCTTCCTTCCTGTGCTCAAGGAGGCTCCCTGCAGTCAGATCTCTGCAGGACTCCCTGCTCATTCACCTGAGGATGGAACCTGTGTCCTCACTCATGCTATGCAAGCCTTCCACCACTGAGCCCTAGTTCTTTTTATTTTTTAGCCTCAGTCTCCCAAGTACCTGGGATTCCAGGGTGGGTTGTACCATATGTCAGACTTCATGGTCATCTCTGTCAGTCAACTCATGTTTAAAAAACTGTTCAGTCCTGGGTGCCATGTGTGGAAAGGGGCTTTGACAGGCTGGATTAGGCCCAGGATTAAGATGAAAGATTTAGTCCGTCACGGTGGTGCGGGCCTGTAATCCCAGTGGTTTGGGAGACTGAGACAGGAGGATCATGAGTTCAAAGCCAGCCTCAGCAAAAAGTGAGGTGCTGAGACACTTAGTGAGACTTTATCTCTACATAAAATACAAAAATAGGGCTGGGGATGTAGTTCAGTGGTCAGGTGTCCCTGAGTTCAATCCCCAGTAACATCCCCCCACCAATAAACATGAAAAATTTGGAAACATGTCCTCTAAGAAGTGTGTGTGTGTGTGTGTGTGTGTGTGTGTTTTGTTTTGGGGTTTTTTTTCTCTTTTTTTTTTTTTTGTGGTACTGGGAATTGAACCCGGGTGCTATTGCTGAACTATATCCCCAGTCCCTTTTATTTTTTATTTTGAGCCAGGGTCTTGCTAAGTTTCCCAGGCCAGCCCCTCTAAGTTCCTGAGCCTGACCTCAAACTTGCAATCCTCCTACTTCAGTCTTTGGTATTACAGGTATGCAGTACTGTATAGTTAAGCAGGAATATATGTGTGTGTGTGTGTGTGTGTGTGTGTGTATGTATATATATGTATTTAATTTATATTTATTTAATTTTTTTTGCAGTACTTGGGATCAAACCCAGGAGCCTTCTAACTCTGAACTATATCCCAGGCCTTTTAATTTTTTTTGAGACAGAGTCTTGCTGAGTTGGCTGAGGGTTGGCTCAAACATTCCATCCTCCTTCCTCAGCCTCCTGAGTTGCTGGGATTATAGGGGTATGTTATCATGCCTAGTGGATTATTCTTCCATTCTTTTCTTTCTTTCTTTCTTTCCTTCCTTCCTTCCTTCCTTTTCTTTTCTTTTCTTTGGTACCAGGGATTAAACTCAGGGGTACTCAGCCACTGAGCCACATCCCCAGCCCTATTTTTGTATTTTATTTCAAGACAGGTCTCACTGAGTTGCTTGGTTACTGGTTTTTGCTGAGGCTGGCTTTGAACTCATGATCCTCCTGCCTCAGTGACCCGAGCTGCTGGGATTACAGGCATGTGCCACCGTGCCCTGTGGATTATTATGATTCTTATTTTTCATTTTTATAAATTTCTTTTTCAGTGTCAAAGAATTGCTTTCACACTGTAGAATATTTGGAAAGTATAAGGAAAGAATCATCCATAATCCTCCTAATTGGAGGTAAAATTAACATTTGGGCATATTTCCTTCCAGGTGCTTTATGGCATTTTTTAATTACGTAGTTGAGATATCCCCAGTGAACTTTGAAGTATGTTATTATTGACTGGGTAGCCCTAAAATGAACAATTGATTTTGAATCTTTACGCGTAATTTAATGCTTAGCTCTTTCTTCCAAAAGAGGTTTTGTATTTGAAGTCTTAACGCTTCAACTTCCTAGCTTTGTATAATGGAAAAAACAATAGTGATTAAAGGCCATCTCAGTCCAAGTCACATTCATTTTTTTCCCCATTTTCTTTGCTTTATTTATTTATTTATTTTTTGCAAATTATCAGTAATTAGTAACTCTAATATTTATGGAGATCTCCCCAGACTAGGATTCCTGTGCTCACAGTGCAACCCAAGAGTTAGGCTTATATTCAGTGTTAAACTAACTGGCCCAGGTCCTTTGCTCTCTGGTCTTTGCTCATTGCTGTGACTCAGGGTCAGAAGTTTCGTTTCGAGTGGGTGAGGCTCTGTAGGTGATAGAAATATTTGGTTAGAGTTTTTGAAATAAATGTGTTGAGGGAAAGCAAGTTCTGTCCTGATTGACATTAACAGTTAATTCCTAGGTAGATTTTTTTTCCCCCTAGAATTACATTTTTTTTCTTTTTCTTTTTTGGTACCAGGGATTGAACCCAGGGGCACTTAACCACTGAGCCACATCCCTAGCCCTTTTAAAATTCTTTTACAATTTTGAGACAGAGTCTTGCTAAGTTGCTGAGGCTGGCTTCGAACTTGTGATCCTCCTGCCCCAGCCTCCTGAGCCGCTGGGATTACAGGCATGTGCCATTCTGCCCAGCTAGAATTAGCCTTGATTAACATTCTTTCTCCTCAGAGTGGGAAAACGGTCTCATAGTTCTGTGTTCGAGTTTAGAAATATTTGCTTCCAGATCACAAAATTTGAGTACTGGGCTGCTCTGCACAGCTGAGACACACAGCCTGTATTTGCTAGAGGTTGAGTTTTGGTTGTTGTAGAAATCTCAGTGCACTGTCCGCTAACCTAGATAGTTCTGATTACTGTTTTATCTTCTGTCACTTACTTATCCTTCACTTACACAGCAGTTCCCATGATTCCATCTTCAGCCTCTGGGTCTTCCTGTCTCTGCCTCTGTTGATTGTGATCCCTGTCAAAAACATCCATAGTTGATTGATCCCCCACAGAGGACTGATCTCATCCCACATCAGACTAGTAGCTCCCTGTGCATCACATAGAAGCCATGGAGTGCTCTTGTATATAGTGCTTACCTTCCTGAGCCTTGGGTCCTACACCTATGAGAGGGAACTCCATTAAATGTTCTCTGAGGCAACCTCTCTGCCTAAAATCCTGCCTCCCTTTTAACTTGTAAATTAAGAGTGACAAGAGTTTCTACCTTTCAGGGTTAGTAGGATAAGTAAGTTTACCATAAAGCTCTTGGTACAGCACTTTCCACACCATATTGGCTGGTATTTTTACTGAGTCTCCACTGAGTGTTCATAGTACTGTGCGGGTGTACAGAGGGGTCAAAAGGAAATGGCTTCCAGAAACTTGCCTTGTGTGGGGAGGTTACCCTCTGTGGACACCTGTCACTGCCTGAGGCCTGGTACTGTGTGCCCCACCAACTAGCACATTATTGGTTTTCAGCCTTCCTTGGTCTCTTCCCAAAGAGACTACTCAATCTCCAAATCCCTGTCTCAAGATCTGCTCCCTTCACCACCACCCCATACTGGGGAATTGAACCCAGGGGCCCTCTACCACTGAGTTCCACCCCCCAGCTCTTTTTACTCTTTATTTTGAGACAAGGTCTTGTTAAGTTGCCCTTGAGTTTGCTATCCTCCTGCTTCAGCCTCCTGAGTAGCTGGGATTACAGGAGTTGTGTCAGTGTACCCAGCTTCAAGATCTGTTCTTGAGTGAACTCAAACTAAAACAAGTAGTGATAAAGACATTTCAAGGCCAGTTGTGGTGATGCATACCTGTATCCCAGTGGTTTAGGAGGCTGAGGCAGGAGGATTGCAAGTTCAAAGCCAGCTTCAGAAACTTACTTAGCAAGACCACCCCTCTAAATAAAATATAAAAAATGGGCTGAGGATGAGGCTTAAGGGATTAAGGAACCCTGTGTTTAATCCCCAGTACCAACAAAAAGCAAGAAACTTTAAATGAAAAAAGCAAGAAACAGGGTTCTCAAACAATCTCAGGATCCCTTTAGACACTTAAAAATTATTGAGGTCCCTGAAGAGCTTTTGTTTTCATGGTTTATAGCTATCAGCATTTACCATGTTGAAAAACTAAAGCTGGCCTACTATTATGTAATTAGTTAAAATCCAATAAACAATATAAAATAATGCCAACTTCACAGGACTAACCTGCCCTAGGTGGCCTAAACTTCCATTTTTTCTGATATTAGTAAAGTTTTGAAAGCAAACAAATAAAAAGAAAGAAAAAACTAAAGCTGGAAAATACTTAAATATTTATTAACCTTCTGTAAAAAATTTTTATTTTAAAAATTTATTTATTTTTGGTACTGGGGATTGAACCCAGGAATGCTTTCCCACTTAGCTATATCCCTAAGCCTTATAATTTTTTTTTTTGTTGTTGTTGTTGAAATGGGGTCTTGCTAAGTTGCTAAGGGCCTAAGTTGCCAAGGCTGGCCTCCAACTTGGTGAGCTTCCTTTCTCAGCCTCCCAAAATATCTGGGATGACAGACATACACAAACATGCCTAGTGCAAATCTCTTTTAATATCTGGCTTAAAAGAGGACAGTTGAGGGCTGGGGATAGAGTGCTTGTCTAGTGTGCAAGGTCCTGTGTTCTATTTCCCAGTACCAAAAAAAAAAAAAAAAAAAAGAATTTCTATACTTCCTCTTTATTCAGCCTCTGAAAAACTCCCCTACAGACCTGTGAAAGAACAAGAGTACAAGGGCAGTAATATCTAGTGTTGTTATGAAGGTAGTTTTGATCTCATGATCTTGTTATGGTAAACTGACCCTCCAAAAATAAAAAAAATAAAACTGCCTTCTTTGTAGTGAGAATCAATTTCTATGATGTTAATACTGCACCCACCATGGCCTGTTTGAGACCACCCACCTGACTAATGGTGGAGTCTGGGAGAGTCACAATATGGGTGCAAGCCATGTGAGCTTGCTGCTGGCAACCCTTTTTAAGAACCGCACTTTGAGAACCATTGATAGAGACAGCTGTGGAAGGGCTGGAGAAAGTGATCATGTTTGCCTCCAAAACAGTAACTCAGTGGTTGTACAGGGCACTTTTAAACTCAAAATCCTTTTGAATTTTGTTCAACTTAACATATTGTACCTGAACATGTACAAAGAATATTTACAAAGAAAAAAATACTTTAAGTATCTTCCTTTTAAGATGAACTCTAAAAGTGCAACATGTCCTATAATCTGTAACTGTTTGGGATTTTTATTTCTTTGTGGCATGGTTTGTTCTAAGCCTTACATTCACAGTTCTCCCCCCTCAGCTTCCCTACCAACCTCAAGCCAGGTGCCTGTTGATGGGCAGGGTTCAGATTCATCCCTGTTCTAGCATGAGACACAGGGTTACCACAAGCCCTGCAAGTTACTGTATCTTTGTAGCCAATTTAAACACCTTGTCCGTTGTAATTTGATATTTGAGTGGCTAAAGCATCCTGTTATTTCTGAACATTTGGAATTACCCTCCCTTGGTGCTTTTTGTAAACTGAAAGCTTTCCTGCTGACCTACTAATCTTCCCCAACCACACACCCTAAATGGAAGATTAAGGTTTGCCCTTCTCACTCCATGTAGGATGGAGACTAGAAGACATTTTAATAAAATTACTTCTCTGAGCTCTGCAACATTTTGAACCTTTCTGTGTTATCCACAGTCACCTTACCTAAGGCTTCTTTCTAGGCTATTTGTTTTAAAAAGCAGGGAGGCACTGAGGAGTGTAGATCAGTGCTTGAGCACTTGCCTAGCATGTGCATGGCCCTGGGTTCAATCCCCAGCTCCTATGGGGGAGCGGGAGTGGGAGCATTTTCATTAACTAAATAAGGCACGGGGGAAGGCTGGTGCTGTTTGAGAGTTAACAGCATCTTGCAACCTGTGGCATTTTAACAAGAAACAGCTGCTAGCTGCATAGGTCTTGGTGATTCTCCTCTCCTCCTCCATTCATTTAACTCTTCCCTTGGCTTGTGCAGAGTTTTTTGAGGGATATGGAACAGCCACCCCTCAGGTAGGAAACTGATTTTGGGGGATGTGCATGGTTAGAGTGCCCCACAATTTGAGGTTTGTGCTGAGAAGCATAAGGTTTTGCAAAGGAGAGAATGCTGGGACTAGAGATTCCACACAGTCCACAGGCACAGGTGACTAATGGCAGCAACCTGGCACTGCAGGAGCAGTGAAGCTGAGCTGCAGAGGCTGCTCGCTGCTTGGCTCCTGCACAACCTGCAGTTATGCAATCGAAAGGAATGTCTGTGGCATGCCAGGCATCTGGGTGCTCCGTGTCCACCCACGAAGAGCAGAGCTTGTGACCCTCCACTGAACAGGTGACCAGCAAATGGAGGTCGCTAGGCAATACTCAGCTCCTTTCTACCCAGCTGCAACATTGTTGCTGAGCTGTCTCTGTTCAGGGATGCAGGGAGTGACCTGCGTGCCCTGCTGCAGAAACTTTCCCCCACTGTGGGGTGGAGTCTGTTTCCCAGCCCCCCCACCCCCCAGCAGACTGACTTTCCAGGTAGCTTCCTTGTGGTGAAAGGAGACTCATGTGTCCCCAGCTGCTGCTGGACTAAGCGACCCGAGTCTGGAAGCGGGCCCTGTGTTCATCGAAAGCACCTTACCAGAAGAAGAATGAGAACTCTGTTTCCTCCTCCGACTGGCCGACGGAGGTACAGACAGACTCGATTTGAACCCTGGTTCTCACTCAGTTGCAGAATGACACAGCGAGTTTCTTGATTGGTGAAGGTGGGATTAAAATAGCTCAGGAAGAGGCGGAGGCACAGTGGCCACTGGGGCTTGGTGCTGGGCATGCAGCTCGTGGGCTGGGATGTTAAAGAGGACCCTGACTCACTCCTCCCCATAGCGGCCAGAGGCAGCTGCAGGTTTTCCAGGCCTTGCAATTGGGAGACTCCCCACCCTCTCAAGCGCATGGCTATCTGCCTGTGTTCTGGGTTATTTCTGTGCTAACCTAGCATCTGCCACTAGTTGACAAAAGAACACAGAAATGTTTTCCAAAGCAGATGCACTCTGGGTGTCTCGAAAGCCCAGGCAGCCCGCAGCCCCTTCCCCTCACCTCATCCCTAATCCTTCCTAGCTCCCCCACAGCTCTTCTCCCACCTACAGGTGGCTCACATGTCTGCTCTTTCTTTGTCAGTTTCAGGAGGGCTCACAATTGAAAGGTGCCAAATTGCCTGGTGTAATGTCATCTGGTGGTGGTTCAGAATATAGCTTCCTGCTCACCAAGTCCCATTGCATAGACTCCACCCAGCACCTGCCTCCCGCCTGCACACTGCTCTGTATGTGACTGGCATCAGAGAAACATGGGTGGGCAAGTGTAATGACAGATGAATCTCAGCTCCTGGGCTTGTCTGCTGTGCTCTTTCATCCACTCCTGTTTTCTAGGGTTAGTCTGGCCTTTCAATGCTTTTCTGCTTAGCCAGAGTCTTTGCAGTATTTTTGCCTGTTTTCCCTCAAATAAACTATCAGCCGTGTTCTCCCTTTTCTGTCAAGAATGTAGTTTGTATATAGTGTACCTGCCTCACTCACTCCTCCCCATCTGTTCTGCTGCTCTCGCCCCTGCCTTTGATTGGAGGCAACAGGTTATGTGACTGTGTGGCAGAGTTTGCAAGGGCGTTTGGCAAGCTCAGGGCACTGGGCTGGCCTCAAGTGTTTTGCCTGATAGGCCCTCAGGCTGGGCCAGGAGTCAGTTCTGAGTTTCTGCCTGGCATTAGCAGCCCTCTGGTCCACTCAGACACACCCAGAATCAGATGCAAGGTTTATATCTGGAAATACAATGGAATGAGTCACTAAAGCTTGACTGCTGGTAAAATAATTGATGAACCCTTGAAGTTGACTTTTTGTTTTCCTTCAATATCACTTTGTGTATCCATTTTTTTTTTTCAGGTAGGAGATTATTTTAAATTTCAAATATATCTTATTTTCTTTTTTAGCCTCTGAAAGTTAGTAATACAGGGATGAAAACAATCGTGTCTAACTCAGGGTTATTGTGATCCTCTGAGAACAGGGCTTCACCTAATAGGCACTACATATGTGTTGCTGTTATTAGTGACTTTTACATAGGTCACCTAGATACAGTCTCTGTTGTCTCCTGCATCCTGCCCTATTAAACAGGACAATATATTGAACATACACCATTCCATAACTCTCCCTTGAATGGTTTACTGGATGATGTAGTTGGCATCCCTCTTACAGAAAAGTCTCCAGGGATATTCCTTGGTCCTATTTCCTTCTATCTTTTACCCAAATGAGAACTCTGCATTTGCAGCCACCTTAATCAGTTGTTCAACAACAACTCCCCAATGTCAATATTAAAGGTTGCGGTGTACCTTTTTTTTCCAAATGTTGGTAACTCATTTGTACCTTATACTTAATGATGTTGTTAGTTCCATCCTGCCTGGGGCAGTGGGAGTCAGGGCTGGCTCTGCCTAGACAGAGCACCCCCCACACATCCTGCCTCTTGCCCTCACCTGATCTTTTGAACCTGATTGTCTATAGAGTTCTGAAGCCCTGCACTGAAAAACCCTCAGTGCCTTTCTGTCCCTGTTGTGGAAGGAAGGGCTAGGCTAGCATCATCCAGTAAAAATATAAGGGGACCCCATATGTAGTTTTAAGTTTCTTATAGCTATGTTTAAAGACTAGGTGAGGTGTTTTTTTGTTTTGTAGTATAAAGGATCTAACCCATGGCTCATGGCTTTACATTCTGCCCCTTTTCCCCAGCCTTTTCCTTTTCCTTTTTTGGAGATACAATCTCACTAAAGGTCCAGACTGGCCTTGAATTTTAATACAGTTTTTTTGTAGCCCATCAAGTCTGATATACTATCATTTCAATGTGACCAATGTAAAATGGTTATGAATGAGGTGTTTTACTTTTTTTTTTTTTTTATAAACTAAGCTAAATCTGAAATCTGGTATGTATGTCACACCTGGGGCATGTCTCCATTTGGGCTGGCCACATTTAGAGTCCTCAGTAGTCACATGTATCTAGTGGCTGCCTTCATGGGCACCATAGGTCTCTCGGCTACCTGAAGTGCTGAGACCTCAGCTCCATGTGTTGGGGCCCACAGTCTCTCTTCTTTCGTGTCATGGCTAGGGTTTTATAAGCAGGGGCTAAAAGGTGATCATCTAAATTGGGGTCTTTTGCAGGACTTAATTTGCTCAAGTAATATTCCCCTGGTTCAGTAAGTGGCTCTCAATGGATGCTTGAAGACAGGTTTTGCCCACGTGAAGTCTTGGAGAGAGGCTCCCTGCCGGCCAGGCCTGACTGCTCCTGAGCATCTGCAGACAAGATTAGGAGGCCGGCTCTTGCACAGTGCTACATGACCTTTAACCTCCTACTGCACAGAGCCGGGGCAAGGGAATTTCTCTGTGGATAGGGAATATTAAGAAGTAAATCAAGCAATAAATGAAGGCTTTGTGTTTGTGTTTTTATTTAGTGGAATAGAAGATGAACTCAGCTGAATTCGGTGAAGATGTAGAAGAAGGTAAATAAACGTTTCTCATTTAATATTTTTGAATAGGTCATATATTACATACTCTAAAAATGTAGAAGGGAATATAAAGTCTCCTACTGCCTGCTCCCATCCCCCTCTACTCAACACTTGTTATAAGTATCTTATGTATTTTTTAAAAGTGCAATACAGTTAATATTTAGTTCTCTCCATATCCCACCTCTCCCCCGAAAAGACTTACAGACCAATTTTGAACTTAGAACATGGTTTTGTTGTGTAGCACTAGTTTAGTAAGATAGAGATCACTTTGCTGGAAAGCACAGGTATATGACTAGATAGATGTTATTCTCTGAGTGACAGTATCAGTGGGTGATCCTCAAACACCTGTGGTTCAGAGAACCCTGCCAATCTCTCAGTGGCCCTAAGTCCTATTTCTTCTCTGCACAGTTCTAAAAAATAACACTGTGAAGGTGGAGACGGAGGCTGAAGATGCTGCCCTGGACTGCTCACTGAATTCCAAGCCTTCAGAGAAGCACCCTCTGGACAGCGTCTTTGCCGCCCTCCAGGACTCCAGCAAACGAAAGCAGCCAGGCAGCGAGGGCCAGCCAGATTCTGTCCCCAGCGTGAAGAGGAGGCGGCTGATACCTGAGGTGAGGGCCCAGCACCTTCCCTCTGCTTGGGCTCTAGCCCTCTCTGATCCGAGGCCGAATCTCTCTCTATTCTTGGGCCTCTGGGCTATTGCTAAGCCCTTGGGCCCAACTGACTTCAGTTCAGTTGGAAGTTTTGTCTGTATCTGGATTCCTTACAGGGAGAGGGGTTTCTTCACAATGCAACTGCTTTTGAGTTCTTTCTTTTGCTGTGCTCCGTGAGGGCAAGGACCTTGACAGCAAGGGTGGTCAGTTCAGCCCAGCCTCCCACAGCTTTCATGGTTGACTCCTTCCTGGGAAGGTTGAGGGCTTTTTTTTTTTTTTTCTTCTTTTCATAAATCTATCTTATGTCCCAATACTGTTAGGGAGCTTGTTCCCTAAAGAACTTTTCAGTGAATCTTTCTGGAAGTGGGGGATTCTTTTACATCATACCTGTTACCATGTAAGTTATCTGTTTTATGAATTTGCTTTATTTCTTCGTCGCTTGCTGATTGTATTGCACTTGGCTAAATGCTGAGAGATAGAAAATGGAAATTAACATGCTGGCAGCCTGCTGTTCAGGCGGGAGACAGGGACATCCATATGAAGTGGTTTGCACTGAGGAGAGAGGCAGCATTGGGACGTCAGCTGGGTATTTGTCTTAGGATGCTTCAGTGGGGTTGATGGAGCCTCTCCACGGTCCAACAAATATATCTTTAATTCTTAGGAAAACATTTTGCCAAACCCCCAACCCAGCTCCACATCTCCTCCCTGCCTCTCCCCTCCTGCTGGCCACATTCAGTCTTTGGGAGACCCAGAGAAGCATATTAACTTCTGCATCTGTTCACAGAGAATCCAGGTTTTCAGTGCTCCTGGTCATTAGTCAGAGCACCGTGGGGTATCAGTCTGGGACTCTTGGTTTTATTGGTTAATTTCAATTCCCTATTAGATATTAGGGCAGATCTAAATAATTTGGAATTCATGCATTTTAGGGTCTTGTTTAGGCCTCAGTAACTAAAAATTATCCTTGTATTGCAACAATGGTGAGACTAAGATTTTAACCAGGATTTATTTTTATTTATTTATTTATTTATTTTTTAAACCATTTCCTTCCCCATCTTTTTTTTTTTTTTTAAGAGAGAGAGAGAGAGAGAGAATTTTTTAATATTTATTTTTTAGTTCTCAGCGGACACAACATCTTTGTTTGTATGTGGTGCTGAGGATCGAACCCGGGCCGCACGCATGCCAGGCGAGCGCACTACCGCTTGAGCCACATCCCCAGCCCCTTAACCAGGATTTAAGTATGCATGTTTATATTATGTAAGGACCTGCATTCTACCTTATGGAACACTGAGAGATACATTTTAAAAAATTAATCGTATTTGTTATTTTGTTATCTTTCTAACAACTTTATTGAACTATAACTTGCATACTATACTATTCCCCAATTTAGGTTTTGTGCAACTCAGTGGTTTTTAATACAGTCATAGAATCATGCAGCTATTACCACGGATTCATTTTTCAATTCGTTTTCATAACTCCAGGAAGAAACTCCTTTGCAGTCACAACCTTTCCCATACCTCCAACTCCTGACAGCGTCTAATCTACTTTGAATCTCTATAGATTTGCCTATTCTGAACATTTCATTTAAATGGAATCACATACTATATGGCCTTTCCTGTTGGGTTTTTTTTTTTTTTTACTCACCATAATATTTTCAAGATTCATCTCTGATGTCGCATTCGTACTTCATCTCCGTTGCACACACCCTGGTCCCCCCCTTTTTTCCTTTTTACAGTACTGGGGATTGAAGCCAGGTCCTTGCATGTGCTAGGCCAGTCAGTGCTCTACCTCTGAGCTATATCCCCAGTGCCATCCCTGTGCTTTTTTTTTTTTTTTTTTGGTGTGGTAGAGGGGATTGAACCCTGGGGTATTCGTTTCTAGCCCTTTTTATTTTTTATTTTGACACAGGATCAAGCTTAGTTTCCCAGGCTGGCCTCAAATTTGTGATCCTCCTGCCTCAGTCTTCTGAATAGCTGGCGTGCACTATCCTACCTGGTTTAAGAACTTCTCTTAACATTTCCTATAAGGCAGGTCTACTGGTTACAATTCCCTCATTTTTTGTTTGTTTGAGATACAGTACATATTTCTTCTTCATTTTTGAAAAATAATATTGCAAGGCACAGAGTTTTGAGGTGCTCTGTTTTTTCTCTCCACTTTCCGTTTCCCTGCGCTCCCTTGCCTTCGTGGTTTCTGAGGACAAGCTGGATGTGAATCTTACCTTTGCCCCTCTTTGGTTTCTCTCGGGATTAATTTTTCTTTCTTTTTTTTTTGTATTTTGCAAACAATATGCCTAGACATAGATATTTTGGCATTTTCCTTGGTTTTCTCTGAACTCCCGAATCTTTGTTTAGGTGTCTGCCATTAATTTGGAGAAATTCTGTCATGGTTTCAAACATTTTTTCTCTTCCTGGTATTCCTATATCTGTATGTCACATCTTTTGTATTGCCCCACACCCCACAGTTCTTGGATTCTCTTCTCTCTCTCTCTCCCTCTCTTTTTTTTTTTTGTGTGTGTGTTTGTTTGTTTTGTTTTGTTTCTTCTCCAATCCTTTTTCTCATTGCTTCAGTTTTGGAGTTTGCTGTTGAGGTATCATCAAGTTCAGAGAGTCTTTTCTCAGCCATGTCCAATCTTCTAAGACCATCAAAGGCATTATTCATTTCTGTTATAGGGCTTTGTTTTTTCTCTAGCATTTCTTTTTTGTTCTTTCTTCAAACTTCTACTTCTCTGTACATTGCTCCTTTGTTCTTATATTCTGTCTACTTATCCATTAGAACCCTTGACATACAAGTTATAGTTGTTTTAAATTCTTTGTGATAATTCATTCCATCATCTCTATCATGTGATTCTGCTTTGGTCTTCCTGTACCTTTTATTTTTTCTTGATAGTCAGATCTGATGTACTGGGTCAAAGGAGCTGTTGTGATAGGCCTTTAGTGGGTGGTGGTGAGGCAAAGGAGGAGGGGATTCGCTACCCTGTGGCTGGGTCTCTGTCCTTTAGCAGACCTGTGCCTCTGGACTGTAAACTCCACTGGTTCTCCTGAGTTCCTCTGCTCCTCCCTGGGCTGGGACTGGATGGCTGGTGTGGGCTGGACTTGGTATCTCCCTCCCCACAGGTCAGATGGTCTCAGATAAAACTTCTTCAGGGTAGGCTCTGGTTAGTTTCTCCTGAGGGCACATCTCCTTAAGTATAGATTACTTGGAGTATTTCAGAATGCTTCTGTTTTCCCTGACCCTCCCATAAGGCTTGGGAGAGTTTTTCTCAGATAGTCACACTGAGAACATGGTAGAGCTCTTGAAGGTAAAGCCATAAAAATACGGAGGCTCTCTGATGCCTGGGGCCTCTGGAGTTTTTAATTCTTGGACTTGTCCACCCAGAGCCTCCAGCAACGTATCCTTACAGATCAGGCTTCCCTGCCCAGCTCTGATTGCCTTGGGGGTCTCCATGGTTGGGTGTCTGGTCTGGGCAGTTGTGGTTCTCTGTATTCATTCACCTCTCTCTCCATTTTGGGGTCAGCAGCTGGACCTCACCTGTCTTATGGATCTAGGAAAATTGTAGATTTGTGTTTGTTTATCGAGCTTTTTACTTGTGAGGATAGAGTGGAGACTTCCAAGCTCTTTACATGCAGAACCAGAATCCTGAAACCACTTTACTCCTTTTTATGGCTGGATAATAGTTTGTTGTGTGGACACATTCATCAGCTGATGGACATTTGGGTTTTCCATTTTTTGACTTACGTGAGTAATAATTGAGCAAGACATTTAAAAAAATCTATAATGCCCAGGGGAAAAAAGTTACATTTAAAAAATATCTTTGAGCCTTTTTTAATAAAGAAATAATTATAAATATCCCACCCTTGACTCTGGCAGTCTATACCAGCCCCTTGCTGTATACCTGTGAGCTAAGGAAGGGCTTCATGCCTGGATGGCAGTTTCTAGTGAATAATGTCGGATTGAAACTCAGCTCCCAGGGCTGGGGTTGTGGCTCAGTGGTAGAGCGCTCGCCCAGCACATGCGAAGCCCTGGGTTTGATCCTTAGCACACATAAAAATAAATTAATAAAGGTATTGTGTTCAACTACAACTAAAAATTAATATTTAAAAACAAAAACCAAAAAAAACCCCATCTCCCAGGTTAGGGTTGCGGTTCAATGGTAGAGCGCTTGCCTAGCATGTGTGAGGCACTGGGTTCGATTCTCAGCACTGCATATAAATAAACAAAATAAAGGTCCATGGACAACTAAAAAAAAGTTAAAAACAAAAAACTCATCTTCTGATTGCTTGTTTGAAAAATCATTGAACCATTTGCTTTTTCATATGTCTTATTTTAGATCATGATTTATTATCTTTTTTCCTAATGGTTGATATTTAGGTGTTTTCCAGTTTTATAGTCTTACAAATAATGCCACAGGGACCTTCCCTATACCTACTAAACCTAGTCACTTGTATGAGTGTGCCTCGGCTAGAATCCCAGAGGTTATTCTGATGGTGTTGAGAAATTTGAGGAGGAGGAAGTTTCAAGGAACACTTGAAAATATTTTCCTCATGTGTTAGGTTCAATCAACAAAGCAAAACAAAACCAGCCCATTTTTATCTTTCATGTTACATTTCTGCTTATGCTCAATTCTGCAAACTCACCAGAAGGTTGAAGTAAAGCTAGAGTTCCGGAAATGGAAGATAATGTTGAGTGTATCAGTTGAACTATGAAACAAACCACCCAGGATTTAGTAGTTTAAAAAAATTGCCTTTTTTTTTTTTTTTTTTAAACATCATTCTGTGGATCAGCTGGTGGTGGTTCTTCTGATGTGGCCTGATGTGTTTGGGTGGAGTGGTCTGGAATGGCCTATCTGGGCTGGGGTGACTGGAGCTTCCCTTTGTGCACATTCTCCCCCTCTGGGAAGCCAGTCTGGGCTTGTTTACAGGATGATGAAAGAGTTCCTAGGGGCTAGGGAGGGCCAGCTCTGG